ATATATGTATGTATGTATATGTGTGTTCTGATTGGAATTTGATGAAAAATCTGATTGGGGTGGTCATAAATTAATCAGTGGTGGTCAAGGCCACCACTGAACACCCCCCGGCTCCACATTGTGCCTGGTTGTGGATATAACTGCTCCCTTTTCATGCCAGGATCCGTCACTCTGCTCCATCTTGGACAAGAAAAAATAAAAACCTACTTCTGTTCTTCTCCATAGCATAACTTCTACCTTGAATATCTTGCAACAAAAACATTGTTTTATTTACATCCTCTGTTCAATTCCAACCCAGAAAACACTACAAATATTCACTATTCAAATCCTTCATCGATGGGGGCCATCATTGTGCCGCTTGTTTTAATCTGTTATATCAGTCGTCCTTCAATAAAGAGCTCTTCAGGTTGTTTCCTGCATGACTGGTGATCTACACCAACAGAACCAATAGATGTAGAAACGTTTTCATTTTTTCAATCCGGTCTGTCTGTGGCAGCTTCTAATAAAACTTTGGAAGTTCATGAATGAACTGCAAACATTTCAAGTTCAAGTAAGTTTATTGTAATTTCAGCACATGTGGTACATGAGGTGGAACAGAATTATGTACACAGGGTCCCAGTTACATCCAACAATAGCAAAAATATAAAGTGTAAAAAGAAACAGTATATAAGGATCTAAGATATAAACTAAACAAACGCCAAATGTGTTTGACTGTGAAATGTAAAAGTTCCCTCAACAGGTGGTGGTTCTGCAGGCTCGGGGGTCTCTGGTAGTACAGGTGGTACTAGTGGACATGGTCCCAGACTGGATGGAGGAAAACTTTTAGATGGCCACAGTGTGATTGAAGGATCCCTCAACAAGAACCAGCTGAAGACGCTACAAAGCGAACTGTCTGAGGCCATCCTCACCTTCAGCTCTATCAACGACACGCTGAAGGGTCTGGAACACACGGTGCAGAAACACGGCAGCGTGGTAACAGACCTCGGTGAGCCCAGTTTAGTGACACCATCTAGAACTCGATGAACATGCTGCTCTTCATCTGTTTGTCTCTCTGATACCTGACAGGAAACACCAAGGATAAGATCATTTCTGAACTGGACAAAATCCAACAAGAGGTGACGGAACATATGGAAGAGAGCCGAGACTACCGGGACCGGATGAATCAGGATGTCCACCGGTTCAAGAACATGCTGCTGGTGGAGATGGGAGACTGTAGGAGATCTGGAGACGGCCTGGAAAAGAGGCTGTCGAAGCTGGAAGGAGTCTGTGGACGACTAACCCGAGTTTCTGACACCATCGATAAGATCAGAGAAGGTGTGGCTTTGGCATACATTTCTATTGTTATTTTAATAACTATATACAGTATTTTTTTTTTTCAGTAATTTCATTACTAGTATTCAATTCAATTCAGTTCAGTTTATTTATATAGCGCCAAATCACAACAAAGTTGTCTCAGGGCACTTTACAGGAACATTCACATACATAAAAGCCAATTAGTAAAGTTCTCTATCTAAGGAATCCAGCAGACAAGATGAATCTTGGCTTCGTTGCAGTCTCCCATCCTGAGCAAGCACAGTGGCAACAGTGGAAAGGAAAAACTCCCTTTTAACAGGAAGAAACCTCCAGCAGAACCAGGCTCAGGACAAGCGGCCATCTGCTTTGACTGGCTAGTCCCATCTTTCTTTATCCTATTATTTTCAATATTAGTCATTTATTTTAATTCTTTGCTCTGGATGTCTACTAAGTTTAGGATACTTCTTTTGCAGGACTGGTTGTTTCAAGGTGGGGTCCATGGGCCCGGGATTGGCCCTGTCTAATTTTAGAGCTTTAAAACTGAATTGCTACTTAAAATATTATTTTCTAAACAGCATATAAAGCACTGATTGGTTTTTTTGGGGTCTATTTACTGGCATAATTTTTAGCAAAATACAGTATCATAATACCAAAGTCCATGCTCAATAATCCAGGTATAAAATCCAATAATGTTCAGTCAGGTCATCAGGACTGTTTATTTTTTGCTGAGACATTTTGTCTTTCATCCAAAGGACTTCAATCTGAGGAGCCACCAAACAAAACTGATTCCCACAAACAGCATACTCCATAGTGGAAAGAAACATTCCCCATTCCCAGTCTTCATTCCTCGTGTGCACTAGGGCGGCTGTGGCTGAGTGGTTAGAGCAGTCGTCCTCCAATGCAAGAGTTGTGGGTTCGAATACACCAGCAGTCACATGCTGAAGTGTCCCTGGGCAAGACACTGAACCCCTCATAGCCTCTGATGTGTGTCCCATCGGTGTATGAATGTGATAAAGCTCTGATTAGTCTCTTTAGAATGATTTGTTTACAAAGTAATTATCTTTGTAGAGATCTAGTAGAGTGCTGTATGAATGGGTAAATGAGGACACAGATTGTAGTGGAAAGCGCTTTGAGTATTTTGAAATAAGATAGAAAGGCGCTATATAAGTACAGTCCATCCATCCATCCACTAAAACCACTAAAGTCTCCTTCAGTGTCAGAACTGAACAGCCTCAGAAAAACTTCATCTCACACGTCCTCAGTGTCTCTTTCACTGTCACTCTCAACGTCACTTTCGTCTCGAGGCAGATTTGCCCTTGAACTTGTGCTGGCTGTCCTCTTCATCACACAGCAGCCTTTCGAAACCCATTGGTGATAGAGGATTTAATTTACACTGCTCCACTGTCAGGATAGATTTGAGCAAAAATGCTCTTTGTGTGCGGCAAAATGCGCAAAGTGACTGATCTGAAGAATTTAATGCGAGTGCATTTGCTTTAATTTGAACAGTTTCACTGGTCCACTGTGACCTGTTCAGTAACTTCTTTGGTCTAAAACTATCTATCTTCATTGGTCTAAAACTTCATTGGGCTAAAGGTTTTGGAGATATGAAGCTCGTTAGCTCATAAAAATCTATTAATCAGCTGCATCATTGTTTACTAGGGGTGTAACGGTATGCTAGAATCACAATTTGGTTCAGTTCAGTTTCAAGGAGGGCTCGGTTCGGTTAATTTTCGGTACAAAAAAGGCCAAAATAAAGACTTACAAAATGTTTATTTTGAAAATATGCCAAGTAAACAAGTTCAGTCATTACAGACTTCTTAGCTGGAGGTGATCTGATGGATGAAGAAGACTCAGCTGCTGTCATCCTCAGACTGCAAACAACACAGAGATTTAAAAAAAGAGTTAATAAGATTATAATTTTAAATTAAAAAAGTTAAGTAGATCATAATAATACAGTAACAATACCTCTTCTTGCACGGTCATAATTTCTTATATGAGGTGGTTGAATCTCGCACTCATCATTAATGTAGCAGGACTTTAAATCTGGTCCAGGGCTTGTTGATGATCAGTTTTAGCTTTTTCATAAAGTGCTGCTACAACTCTTTGGCTGAAGTGTTGACATGATGGGATGTTGTAGAGGGGCTCAAGAACTTTAATCATATGCTTAAAGCCAGCTCATCAAATGGTAAATGGTAAATGGACTGTACTTATATAGCGCCTTTCTATCTTATTTCAAGATACTCCATGCACTTTCCACTACAATCTGCGTCCTCATTTACCCATTCATACAGCACTGTACTAGATCTCTACAAAGCTAATTGAACAAATCATTCTAAAGAGTCTAATCAGAGCTTTATCACATTCAAACATCGATGGGACACACATCGGAGGCTATGAGGGGTTCAGTGTCTTGCTCAGGGACACTTCGGCATGTGACTGCTGGTGGATTCAAACCCCCAACTCTCGCATTGGAGGACGACTGCTCTAACCACTCAGCCACAGCCGCCCCAACAGCAGAATATGGACATAGATCCAGAGCTTTAAAAACTCCTACAGCTTGTGTTATTGCTTTGGACTGATCTGAATGACCTGATGACGATTGTTTAAATGTTGCTGCTATCAGTCTTTGCACCAAACTACGTTCACATTCGGATGATGTTGTTTCAACCGCGTTAACAAGTTAGACGTGTTGCTACTGCAGATCTAATCTCTGTGAAACAACGTCGACACACAGCTTTGGATTTGTTCACTTGTCTTTAATAAGAAAGCCATAATGTTCCCAAACAGGAGTCCGCAACGAGATGCTAGGCTGCTACTGTTACGCGTGCTGCAAAATAATAGTGCCGTGCTGAAACACGCTTAGGAACTTTAGTTCCGTGGCGCATAATCTCTCTTTAATAAAATTTAATGAGTGAAAAAATAACCGAAATGGTACACACGTGGACCGAACCGAACATGCTGGACCGCAACAGCTCAATACACCCACATGTACCGTTACACCACTACTGTTTAGTCATCGGTGTTCAAAGCAAGTGAAAAAAGTAGTGACTTATAGTCCGGAAATTACGGTATATAATAACTCTGCCACTGGAACAACTCATACATCAAACTTTGATAAGGTTTTGATGATTGTCATTCTAAACACAATTTATCTGTTGGAAACACTAACAATTAACCCTATGAGCTACGGAGAGCCGCTACAGAAGCACCAAAAAGCCACGCGTATGCTTTGAGGCATAAGTTCCAGACTCATGGGCAAGCAATTGAAGTGTTTTCATAGACTGGAGACCAGCAGGGTGAACAGCAGTCTAACAGATGTTGTCTAGCTGTGAAATCATCAGAGTGAAATCACTTGAACCTATACTGCCTCACTTCGGTTCAGTTTCCTTTACCAGTTAAGGAAACTGACATTTACTTTGTGTTTATCAGTATATGAAGACAACTCCGTAAAAGAGTAATAAAAACATCCAATAATAAAACTTCCAGTGTCTCATGTGTCGTCTCGTTTCCTTTTCTTTTCTGCTGATTTCTGTGTTCAGGACTGAATCAACAAGTGTCTTCTTTGTGGACATGCGTTTCTGGCATGAACGAGTCTGTCATTCAGCATGGAGGAACCCTGGACTTTATTCAGAGGACCCATGATGATGTTCACAGTAAAGTAAAGAACCTGAACTCCAGCTTGAACCACATTCTTAGATACCTGCAGAGTTTCTCAGACCTAACGGGTGAGCTTGTTTTTATTCCAAGCTAACTAAATGACTAACTTGGGTTTGTGTTGTCAAAGTTTTTGATGGCAATCCAGATCTGTGACTAAAGCCGAGATAAACAAGATCTAACAAAATATTTTTTTTAAATCACACTTGTTTAATTAGAGATTTCGGCCCTGTAGGTTGCCTTTTGAAGTACCTGCTCAAAAATAGCATGCATCTTAGTGTAATGATGCTTTTTTTCTTCAAACGACTGAGCATCCAGATACTGTTTCTTCAATGTTTATTTGCTCTCCTGCAGAAGACAATAACTAAACACATCATTTGTCTTCTGTGTGCCCTGCACTTCTGTATCCCTCGCATTGCATGGTGGGAAAAGTTTAACCTTACATTATTGAATGTTTGCATTCAGGAGGTTAAAACAAAACAATTAACATTATCTTTTAAAGCTATAATGAAAACAATACATTAACAGTACTATTTACTAGACAGTCTAGAAAATATTATTTAACAATACCGGTAGTATTTAACATGACTAATAAACCACATACATGCAGAAGACAATAAACCAAACACGTCATTTGTCTTTTGTGTCCTGCACCTCTGGCTCCTACACATGCAAAAATAAATGTAATGGCGTCAAACCATCTGCAGAGCCATTACAGCCAGCAACCACAAGAGGGCGCACTAAACTGAAAATTGCCCAAAACTATCTTACAATTGGGACAGTAAAACATCTATAAAAACTTTGGTTTTGTGGTCAAAATGAAAAATAAAAGCACAATGACATTATAAAATTTAAATCAACCAACACAACATAAGATTTATAACATAAATAGCTACATTTTCAAAGGCAAAGAAAGAAAAACCTGCCAACAACATTTTCACATTACTCACATTGCATGGTGGTAAAGTGAGAGAATTATTATTATTTTTTACTTTATTGAACACAATGTACAAAACAAACAGGTATTGTAATGAACAAACAGCACCTCCAAAACAGTGACAAGACTTGTGAACTGAGTATGTTGTAAAACAAGTACACATTATACAAAGTAGAAGATAATCAGAGATACTATTTAAGAACAGACTGGAAAGAAAATGATAAAGAATAACAAAACAAATGAAAATTAAATTAAAATTTAGTCAGAGGATTCAGTAAAATATAATTTGTAATTAGAAATAAACAAATTTGCTTTTTTATTATTAATCAATTTAAAGGAATCAATCAGAAACTTTAGTTCTGACTGAAAATGAATACAATTTGGTATCGAGTTTGCAAATTTTTGTTTGTGGATGAAAAATTTTTCATATAAAAATGATAAAATTACGTATATGTTCAAATTTACAATTTTCAGAGTTACTGTAGTAGGAAATAATATTTTGGAGATTTAATGAACATGCAAATTTAGTTGATCGAAAAATGTAATATTCAAGGTCAGTCCAAATTTTTTGGGATATGTCACGACTAAAAAAAGAATGCAGTGTCGTTTCTAAGTTTGTTTTACAAAAAGTACAAGTCATTAATATCTGTGAATTTAGCAATGATACAGTTCATGGGATATATATGTAAAATCTTAAAGTGTGCTTCTTTGACTTTGTTAGGAATACAGAATTTGTGGGGTAAGAGCCAGACCCTTCTCCAGTTTATGTCATTAATTTGAGCTCACCAATAAAATTTACCTCTGGGTACCACACATTTTTTCTTATGAAAGCACTGGTGTATGTGTCTATTGTTACATTTTTTTATATGTTACTTTAATTCCTTCCAGTGTGAGAGTGGGTAGAGTTTTCGTAAATTCACTGTAACACATATGACTTTTAACAAGTTTAATTAATTATTTGGGAATAGTTTTGGTTATCATATTAAATTCTCTGAAAGGAATAGGAAAACCATGGACAAACATAAAGTTATCATGCGATAACATATTGCCAGTATTATCAAAAAAATTAAGGATGTGGTTGATGTCTTTATTGAACCAGTTAATTTAAAAAAATGATTTGTTCCAAATCAGAATGTTGCAGTTATTCCAGAGGAGAGCTTTATGGGGTGAAAAATGGTGGACGCAAAGTGAGAGAGAGGAAGCTACCGGAACAAAATGTATCACATCATTTCCGTCTTTGACACATTTCAAAATAAAAGACCATAAGATAAAATTCACAAACATATTGTTAACACAGTAAAGTAAACAAATACTTTAGAGTACATTTTTAACTTTGTTACATTAGCAACACCTTACTATTCAAATAACAATAACATTTATGGGATTTCGTTGGAAGTGTCATCCCAGCTGATGCTGGTGTTTCACAGAAAATTATTGGACAAAAAAAGGAGGCTATATGTTCCCGCTGCCATTTTTTTCTATATCTAAAATATATAACTCCTTTTGAAAATAAGTTGCAGAAGACCAGGGGCTCACCCTCAGGATGCCAGCCTCCCGGCACCAAGGCATGCAAATTAATATGGCTGACAGTGGTGGTGTTGCTGAGGTGACAGTGAACACCTGTATCACACAGTCTTTAGAAATTAGTTTAAACACATTTAGACTGATTTAAAAAAAAATGAAAATATTGGTGGCACAAACAACTCAACACACTTTGTACTTAAAGTTACTGGTACTTTGTTTTTTGTGTTTGACTATAAGCTTTACAATTGGGCTTTACCTTTGGTTTGGATTGATTCATGCCAATGACTCCAGCTTCAAATCCTTAGACCCAATACCCACATCAGTCCTGCCAGTCATCATCTGTAAGGAGATGTAAACATATAATGCAGATTAAGTGACATTCACATTTGTCTACTCAAGTCCTTGTTAATAGATCAGATGGGTTTATTTTAAGAGATAAGATAAAATAAGAGAACTTTATTGATCCTGCAGGAAACTGTGCCAGATTTTCAGTACAAAGGAACATACACAAGGAATCACACAATATATAAAAAGTAACAGAGAATATAAAAAATATCAGAGAATATAAAAAATACCAACAGTTAAGTTCTAAAACACGTCAGGTGCAGACAGAAACATTAAAGTGTTTATTGTGGTGCAGGATTAATTTTATTGTCCTATGTGTAGAAAGGGGAAGGAGTTGAAAAGCTCAGTAACCACAGGGAGGAAGGACTTCCTGTGTTGTTCTGTGGAGCACCTCTGTGGTCTCACTCTACGACTGAAGGTGCTGCAGTAAGAGTCCAGGGTGTCATGCAGGGGGTGTGACGTGTTGTTCAGGATCTGGAGCAGTTTCCTCAGCATCCTCTGCTCAGACACCTCTCAGAGACTGCAGGTCCACTCCCAGAACTGAACCAGCTCTCCTGATGTGTTTATTGAGTCTGTTGGCATCAGCTTTCTTCACCCTGCTGCCCCAGCACACCACAGTGTAGAAGAAGATGCTGGAGACCACTAAGTGGTACAACATCTGCAGCATGGTCCTGCAGATGTTAAAGGACCTGAGTCTCCTCAGAAGAAAAAAGCGACTCTGCTCTTTCTTGTAGAGGGCGTTGGTGTTAGCTCCAGTTTATTGTCTAGGTGGAACCCCAGGTACTTGTAGCAGTCTACAGTGTCCACCTTAGGACCCTTGATGTTGATAGGGTGTGTGTGTGTGTGTGTGTGTGGGGGGGGGGGGTTCTTCTTCCTGTAGTCCACCTGCAACTCTAGTTTTTCCAACGTTGAGTTGCAGGTGGTTCTGTCCACCACGTCTCTGTATTCAGCTTCCTGGTCACCATTAATGCAGCCCACAATGGCAGAGTCATTCAAGAACTTCTACTGATGGCAGGATTGTGAGTTGTACCTGAAGTCCGAGGTGTAGATTGAGAAAATACTCCAAAAGCATGCTGGGAAATGAAGTTGCTCAGTAAATTTGGTTTAGTCCCAGTGGATATCAGCAATGGAGGCAAAACAGTAAGATTAAAATGGATTTTCATATTATGTTTGTTAAACCTGATAATTTTGGTTTCTTTTGCTGGTGGTTCAGTGAATCTTGGTTGAATCATGATGAAACTTATAGTTTTCGAATATGTGAGATCCCTGCTTTCAGTAAACATAGCTGTATGTGTACATGACATGGGGTGAACAGCTGACGCAATTTGTTGACTTACTGATTTAACTGTTTTGTAGTTTCATCAGTGTTTGGTGATTATAAAAATGGTTTTAGAAGCTTTTAGCCAAATATCTTAAGATTCTGTGGATATCACACATTTATAAAAAAAAAGAACAGACCACAAATTCGCGAAAGTAGAAATTAAGAAATGCAAGTCTGTCCTCAGTACCAAGGGCATGAGGCCTAATCAAAAACTCTAACCCAGGTATGGGTTCGGCAGATTAGTTTTTGGCTTGAAGGCCTCTATAAAATCAGTTACAATTGCATGTATTTTTATTTTATGGTTTAGATCAAAGAGGCTGTTTCTCCCAATCACGCCCCTCTAGGAAACACCGTTGATACTTATGTGGACATTGAAGATGTCCAGCAGAATAATGAGTCCCCAGCTGGACCACCTTCCATCAACTTTGCTTAGGATTTCAAGAAGGCTAGGCATTTTGAACTACCATAAGGCACATAGGTACTGATAACAGTTAGAGCCTGTCCCCCACCTGAAGGCACAGGGCAGCTACTCTTCCATTTACCAGCAAAAACTTCAATGCACAGATGCCAAGCTGGAAGGATAAAAATAGGCTCACACCAGCCTGACACATTTTGTGGGCAACTCTAGAGTAGCCCCACTCAAGGATGATTTATTTCAGAACCAATATGCGTTGAGGTGAGCCTGACTATATCTAGTTGGTACTCCTCAACTTAATACACAATCTCAGGCTCCTTCCCCACCAGAAAGATAACATTCCATGTCCCAAGAGCCAGCTTTGGTAAGCTAAGATCAGAGTGCCTGGCACTCAAAGCACTGTGCATGCACCTGACTCATTTGGACCCTCCTGTGGGTGGAGGGCCTAGAAGAAGGTGAAACCCATGTTGCTCATTCAGGATAAACCCAATTGAGCCCAATGGGTAGAGGCCTGGTCACAAGTAGCTCTTCTATGAGCCCCTCCATATGGCCTGGCTCCAGAGTAGCTCCCCAGAAATTGATGGCCGTGTGGGAGATATTGAGCTCTTTGCTGTTTTTTGTCCGTATGAGTATTGTCAATCACACTTTGTTTGAACTGTCACATTGGACCAATGTGCCTTTGGAGTCACTACCAGTGGCAATTGTCTCTAACAGCAAATATCCTAGGATCGTTCAGGTACACAGACACCTCTACCAAGAAAAGGTGACATTTTACGGAGGAGCAATCTAATTTGTTGTTTCCAAAAACCATTGGGAGAAGGGTGAAATATTTTTGTCATTTCCTTTCCCCACTCATCTGTGGTCTTAAAATGTCCCTTGCTAACCAAGCACAATCCCACTTTCAATAGGTACACAAAAAGAATAGGTGACTGTGGAAAATCTTTTATTGAATCCTCTGTATTTCTTGGACTTCTTGTGGACCTCGTTCAAAAAAGATTGCTTGGTAATTATTTTCGTCCTGCATTTTCTTCAAACACAAGTAAAAAGTTTCTTATTCCAAGAACTTCATTTAGCTCCATTTGGAGTTCTGGACTCCTCTTTCCGTCCCCTCAGAGATCTGCAACAGAAAAGATACATGACTAAAGTGAAATATGATTAGAAATCAAGCACGGTGGCTCAATTGATAGAGCTATTACCTCTCAGCTAAAAGATCGTCAGTTCAAATCCCAGTCCAGGACCTTTCTGGGTGGAGTTTGCATGTTCTCTCCGTGCATGCATGGGTTTTCTCCTGGTACTCCGGTTTCCTCCCACAGACCAAAAACATGCATGTTTGGCTGATAAGTAACTCTAAATTGTTCCCAGGTATGAGTGAGAGAGTGGATAGTTGTTGTCTCATTTGTCTCTATGTGTCCCTGTGATGGACTGGAGACCTGTCCAAGGTGTCCCCCGCCTCTCACACAGGGACTACCGGACATGGACACCAGTGACCCCCACGACCCAAAAAAGAAGAAGCTGGTAAAGATAATGGATGGATGGATGGATTCCTCCTCACCTGTGAACCTTGTAACTTCTGCCTCATTCCCCCTGCAGATTAAATCTTTCCTAACATCTGGAACATTTCACAATGAAGCTTGTGTCTGATGTCATAACTGACAAGTTACTAACTAGATACTGTAACTATTAAGGGTTATTACAGAATCACGTTGATAGCTCACAAGTGTCTAGGGAGATATGGTTTTTCAGCTCTCCTCCATCTTCTGTATGGTCTGTTCCTGCTTGTGTCAGTTAAGGTCAGATTCCTTTTTCAGAGAGCCAGATTTGGTATCCTAAACTGACTGTCTTAAAATTATGGGCTTGACTGCTTTGCAGTCTCTCCCTCAGGAGCTGGATGCAGATATGATGCATATTATTCATAGCGCTAAGGCTCCCTTCACTAGAGCAAGCTACGATAAGAAATAGAAAGCATTTTCTTACTAGTGACATAACCAACACTTACATCCCTGTGTGTGTTCTGTTTCCATGATGTTACACTTCCTCAAATTTCTCCTGGATGCTGAGAGGGCATCTAGTGATGTTTAAAATGGGAGTACTGGTGGTGCAGAGGTTAGAGAAGGTAAAACTGTGATTGGGAATTTGCAGGTGTAACTCCCCCGGACCAGCATAGAAAAATTTGGTTGGGAAAGGTGAGCAATACATCTGCCTCCACCCTGATTTGCCTCTAATTTGCCTCCAAGAGCTTTTAATACTCTTGTCAGCAGCTTCATTTGAAAGACCTTTTTCCTTTGGTTCATCATCACTACTTTTTGACAGTGAAAACCAATTTGAATCTTTAAATGAAAACTAGTTAAAAATGGAGAAGTTGAATGGTATTTGAGTGCAGCTATTTTTATCTTTGTGTTCATATTGATTCATTATTCGACAGGCCTGCCAGGACCTCCAGGAGAGAGAGGCTTAAATGGGCTACCAGGCCCCCAGGGACCTCCAGGACCACCAGGGCCTCCTGGACTTCCTGGACAACAAGGAGAAAGTGGTGCCCAAGGTCCTCAAGGTAGGAAAAAGATCTTACATTTATGCACCACCTTTATTAATAATTTACATGTTATTTAGTCTCTGAGCACCACCTTAAATAAATAAATAAATCGGTGATTAATACAATTTTCAGTCTCACAGTCTAACCCTAAATTGTGTGTGTGTGTGTGTGTGTGTGCGGGGGGTGGGGGGTTTCTGTGAAGAAATACCATTTTCATTAAACACAAGAAAGCAGTTTGCTTTTGCACAATTTGTCATTTTTATTCAAATAAATGGATAACAAGCTATTGCTGGCTATAGAAATAAACAATGATAGCAATATCCCTAAAGTATTTAACTTAAGGATTAATAACTCTAGTGGTTGTTTGAAAAAAAAATTAAATTTGAGACAAAAGTGAATTTTAATGTGTTTAAAGGTAATTTGAGGGGCAAAGATAAACTTAAGTAAAAGGAAAAGAAAATTTAAACCTGATGAGAGTTATCAGAAATCTTACTGAAATTAACCATCTCTGCAAACACTAGTGGCATCAAAAGTGCACCAGCATAAACTGAGCAGTAACTGACCTACAGAAAGGTTGATGTCGGCTGGTGTATTAGGTACCAAAGGGGTGAATCAACCATGGTTCATGATCAGAGCTTTTGAAGATGGCTTTTCACTGGGATATTGTCGCTCGGGAACCTTCGGCTAAATGATTGATGAGTTTCCCTTCTGCTGGTCCAGTGGTCAGCTGAGGAGGTTCTCGGCAGTGGAATCAGCTGGTTGGGTGCGTAGGTGTAGATCATCTGAAACCTGGACAGACTGTTTTGCCGGGGCTGCTGGAACAGTAACAAATCGGAAGAAAGATCAAAAGTTGTAACTTATTTTGACTTTTCTAGCTTTGCCGGTGTAGCGTCCATCCAAGGTCCAGCAAAAGACAAACCATCCTCAGCGACAGAACATCCAAAATACACTGCGTCTCCTACCCTCCTTTCTGTGTGTTAAATCTACAGTTCAGGTCGACATCCTGAACCACCCCTGGTTCCATACTGACTATGATGATTAACCCTCTGTGTTAATTAACCCTCTTTTCTGAGAGACAGATGCCCAGTCTCTGAAAGAAATCTCTAACAAGGAAGTGAACATTACCCTATGGGACTGTCGTTGCCATGGTCAAGAAGGAAATTAACCCCCCAAGAGTATGTATGTAGTATAAAAGAGCTTCAACAATTGTCATTGGCTTTTATGTATGTGAATGTTTTTGTAAAGTGCCCTGAGATAACTTTGTTGTGATTTGGCGCTATATAAATAAACTGAATTGAATTGAATTGAATTGTTTGTAAGAATGGGGTGCCAGAATCAAACTCTCATTTTGCTGCAATAAATGGTGTTTATGTAAAAACAAGGTGTTGCCATTTTCAACAAAAGCTATTGTGTTTTCCCTCTGAGACTTTGAGGGGAGGTTATAATTAAATTAATTTATGAAGCTTTGTTCACACCCACGGGTTGAGAGCTGCATTTCCATTGGTTAAGATTAGGGGCACGGCTTCGGATGTGTCAGGTAAACAGACACCTGAGAAGTCAGTTGTTGTCGAGCAGTTGCTGAGAAGAGTTGTGGAGAAGAACTCTCATGAGAGAAGCAGTGTCGTGATTGAGAGAAGTCCACGAGACTCTGAGCCAGTCAGCTGAGAGATGAGGAAAGAAGTCCGTAACTTGCTCAGACACCCTGAGAATGATACCTGCAGAGCTGAATCGTATGGCCCTGGGGAAAACAACCCTCTGGTAATCCATGTACCTCCGGCTTTTGTATCATATCTGCTGTGGTAATGAGAGAATGGACCTCTCCCCAATAGGATAAAACATCTTCCTTATGATGATGAAACAACAAGTGCCAACTGAGTTTGTTTAGACATAATTTGATTCACGAATCTGAGATAAAAGCTTACCTAAATTTTAACGTTAGAGCTAAAAACCTTAGTCCAAATTGAATAACTCTTCTCAAAGTCTATTATTTACATCATTCACTTTCTGAAATAATATTATTGGTTATTCAGCCATATTTCATATTTACCATATTGTCATTATTCGAACTGAAAAAGAAATGTTACCAAATTGTGTATTTAAATTACCGGATTCTTTGTCTTTTCTTCGAGAGAGGGGAATTGAATTTGTTGCAAGAACTCACGTATATGTTTTGGGGTTGAGGCCGGTCAACATTTATTACATAACTTGAACAGTTAGTGTATACACCTGCTAATGGGTGTTCAGACCACAGCATTGTCACTACACCTGATTAAAAGACAGCTTTCAGATAGCGAAATGAAACTTTAAAAAATGTTAGAACAAAGATAACAGATTAAATGTGGAAAAACTTGAAAACTATGACAAAACATTCTGGACAAGCATTCAAGGATTCAAAGTTCTTTATTTGTCATGTGTTGGAACAAAATTGTGTACACAGGGTCCCAGTTACATCCAACAAAAGTACTGAAATGTAAAAGAAAAAGAGTAATAAGAGCTAAGATATGAACTAAGAAAAACGTTGTTTTGTTGTTTTGCATTGTTATGTTTTTTGAATGTCCAGAGGACCAGATTTAACTTTTTTAGATTTTTCTACCTGGATTATTGAGCATGCATCAGGATGTTAATACAATAAGCACTAGTAGTATAAAAACAATATGCCGAACAGCAGCACGAACATGAATCTGTGTGAGCAGATGAGTACGAATGAAACACAATAAAGGAAAAATATTCCTCGAACAGCTAAGGGCAAGAAAAGTGTATGGCCAATACTTTTAAATTTCTACAGTGGGCATTTTTAGGACCTGTTCCATCTCAATCATCCAGTCAAGACAACTGTATTTGAATGAAGGAAGGCATTTAAATTGCATTCAGACAGGCATACAGAAGGCATACTTTGAAGACCTTTTCAACCATACCAGCATGCCTTCTATAGAAGAATTTATGTCTGGGTTTTGGGATAGGTATGCCCATAATCAAAACTGAAGTCACCAAGATAGTTCTTTATACTAGAATCCCAACAGCCACATGGCATAGTGGAAGTGATCTGTATTGGGTTCTTCAAGATTCTGGATGTTGCTGGGCTGTCTTGGTTGACACACCTACAGGAGAATCACACTCCTCAGTCCCCACGGTAAGGTCTATTTAGGGTTGCTGGAGAAGAGAGTCCCATTGATGATCAAATCTCTGGTTCAAGGGGAACAATAAAGGTTCTGTTCTGGCTTTGGAACACTAAACCAGTTCTTTACCCTTGCTAAGTTCCTTGAAAGCGAAAGGGAGTTTACCCAAACAGTTTACTCATATTTTGTTAACTTGGAGAAGTCAGTTGACTATAGTCTCTGGGGTACCATTTGGGAGGTGCTCAATGAATATGGGATTGGGGGTCTGTTGCTACAGGACATTCAATCCCAATACAAACTATACAAAGTTATGGTTTGCATTGCCAGCAGTAAGTTGTACCCATTTAAGGTTAGAGTCGGACTCTGCCAGTTGCTTGGACTTTCCTTTCCTGGATTTTAGCACAAATAAATTTTGTGTTCCAGTGGGTGGTGAGAGTCAAACAGAAGGTACATATCTGTTTGACTTGGCTTCCTGCAAACTTCAATGTTGAGGCTTCTTTCTCCTTCACTGTGCACCAAAGACCCCAGCAAAGGCAGCTTGTTGTTGTTAGCATCCTCTGTAGTGAACCTATTTTTAGTTGACAGAGTTGACTTGTCTGGTGAACACTTATTCTTTAGCTTGAATTTTGACTCTGGGATAATCTACATATTTGAACATGTGGCTCATTTTTTTCTACCTTGAAGTAGTTAAGGGCCCTTTTTTCTTCTTCTTCAATGTAAAGATTGGCCAGATTTGACAGCACTGAAAAAAAAAACTGTCATCAAACTTGAAATAAGTTATGGAAAAACAAGGTCCAGCAGGGTACAGATCTGACCTGGAGTGAAATTCGTTAGAAGTCAAATTGTTTTGTGTAAAAAAAAAAAAAAAAAAAAAATCTGTATGGATAAAACCATTTCAGGGCAAAATGGAGGGAAAAAAAAGCCCCAACATGAGTCTTTCTTAGGAGGGCTTCTATATACAAAGATTTGTTTTTGCTTGAAGTTCAACACCTTCCACAACAGTAAATGGGCTGAAACAGCTGATCTCCTGGACTTGTTTTTTTTTTGTTGTTGTTGTTGTTCGTTTGTTTAACTTGTTATAATCTACTAAGGCAGTCTCTGCTTGTGTGTCTGTGTGTGCGCATGTGTGAATATTTTCAGGTCTCCCTGGTGCTGATGCTCATATACCCAGGCTGTCTTTTTCTGCTGCCCTTACTGTTCCCATGGACAGAGCTGGAACCATAGTCTTTGACAAAATCTTTGTCAATGAAGGAGACTTCTACAACCCAAGAACAGGTAAACTGTCATCATCTTTCAATAATGTATGCTTGGTATCACTATGCTGTAGCATCCACTAACCTTCTCAGACTCAGGATCGGGCATAGGAGAGGCATTATCTTCGACCCTTTTCGAATTGGGGTCACATGTGGGAGAGGTGGCAAAGGCCTGGGCAGGCCAGGCTAGGTGGAGAGATGCCAGCCATATGGCTCTCAAGGCCAGAGACGTGGAGCTCTTGGGGACTGAAGACTTGGAGACGACTGGAAGCTTGAGACCTTCAGTGACTAGGATTACAAACTGATCTCTGGAAGACTCTTAGGGACTCCGAGCTGAAAAAGCAACCTCCCAGAACCTCTTAGAGAAAGAAAAATGAAAGGTATCCTACCAAATCCTCTATATGACAGAGAACATCATTTCAGTGACTGAAGGTGGAGAGATGTCTTCTTGGAGCCACACAGTGGGGAGATGTGGAACTGAGTTGAGATGTTAACGCTCTCAGAAGTCTGGAACTGAGACGAGGCATCAACCCACTTGGAGGCTGAAGGTGGTGGCAAGGCAGCTACCCTCTCAGAGGTTAAAAGCTGCAGTAAGGCCTTAAATTTTGAGGGCTGAAGGTGGATGCGAGGTATAGACCCAGAGGCTGAAATTGCAATGAAACACCAGAGTGTAGCAGAACCCCTTCAGAGACTTGAGAGATGTCAACATCTGAACAGCTGGCAGGCTCAGGTTGAGCTTCTGCACAGATAATAATAATAATAATAATAATAATAATAATGTCATCACAATGTCAGCACTGTATGTTTCCATATAATGGCGAAATTAGTCTCTGCATTTAACCCATCCACCACCAGGTGGTGCAGTGGGCAGTTATTGAAAGCGCCCGGGGGGCATTTTGGGGATGAGGTGCTGCCCTGCCTCTACACCATCTCCGCCCCATAATGAACTTGAATGAGGTTTCAGTGTGGCTGGTGGGCTCGGGTATTTCATCAGTGCTCAGAGACTTGGGGCTTCTGTATAATTGAAAACAGGATGATGGTGGCATGGGGCACAGAAGCAGAGACAGAGTGGATGTTACATTCACTTGGGATTGCTACATTTATCACTACTGCCTTATTTTGTAGCTTTTCAACCAGCACAATGGCAGGTTTTCATAAGCCTTCCTTTTGTTTCTCTTCTTCCTCTTTAGATTTCTGCTGTCTAAAACACTTAATAGGCAGCTCATTATTGGGGGACATGTGGGCGACATTAGGGCTTTCTTGTCAACCCAAACAGTGCATACTGTGTGTCTGATTATACAGTCGAGCAGTGTGGTTACAATAAGGTCAAGGTCAAGATGTCTATATTGTCATTCACATCACATGTGGTACATGAGGTGGAACGAAACTATGTACACAGGGTCCCAGTTACATCCCACAAAAATACCAATTGTAAAGAAAAACAGTTCTAAGATATGAACTAAGAAATACAAAAAACTAAGAATACAAATAATACTACTATTACTACTACTACTACTACTACTAATAATAATAATAATAATAATTATTATTATTATTATTATTTTCTCAGCATTTCTTCATTTATTGCTGGTTCATTCATCAGGGGTCATCCAGGTCCCTTGGGTTTAATCTCTGCACTTGGCTGGTATTCAGCCAAGTACTCGTTGAAGTATGTGAGTGGTCCCTAACAGCACAGTCTTTTGCATTACTTTGGCATTGAGTCTGTATGGGAGTTTATCTAGTTTTTTATCATTATTATTATTATTATTATTATTATAAATATTATTGAAATATAAATAACCTACTGGTGCTTGGTTCCACTGGGTGTATTTCATGATCAGGACTGTTCATCCCTGAGTCAATCACTGTTGTTGTGCCATGTTGCATGGATTTACAGTCTACATTACAAGTTGGTGATTGTATCCCAAAACCTTCTCGCTAAGAGGTGACAGCTCTACCAACTGTGCCACCCTGCTGACTAGAAGATGTTCATAGGCAAAAACAGATAATACTGATGGAATTATCTCACCACAGATCACAATGTCAACTGCAAACGTCATAGTCTACGGGGATTCCTGCCTGACCTCATCTGTTAGTCGGTCTATCACCAGAGCAAACAAGAAGGGGCTCAGAGCTGATCCTTGATGCAATCCTACCTCCAGCTTGAAGTTGTCTGTCACTCCTAAAGCACATCTCACCAGTCCTGCTGTCCTCATACATATCCTGTGCCAGTCTAACATGTCCTGCTGTCATCATACATGTCCTGTGCCAGTCTAACATGTCCTGCTGTCCTCATATATGTCCCAATGTTGCTTATGGAAGGAGGCATCACAAAATGCTTGCTCCATGGCTGCAGGATTTAAGATTTGACCAGTGATCAGCAATCACCTAGAACAATGGCCAGTATTCATCAAAACGGCAGATAACCAAGACAGTCTCAGTTAGGACGAATGTGATTACACCATGGCCTGATATGATCCATACCTACTGGGAAAATAAATTGATGGTTCTCTATTTTTGCTTAGCAGCACAAATAAACCAGCTACAACCAAGTACCTACAAAAATAATTTCATAGTCAATCTTTGTAAATGTCTACATCTGGTTTCGTTATAAATTTGAGTTATAATTTCAGTTCTAGAATTGCGCCGCTCAAGGTGGCTGCATGTTGGAGCAGCTCTGTTACTTTCATTCTGAGATTTTGCTTTTGGAAACTTTAATTCCTCTTTTGCTGGATGTAAATCACATTTTTTGGATGATTGTTTCCTCTGGTATCAGATGCTGTGCAGCAGGAAGGATTTTTACTGAAACCTTTTTAGTTTTGGACATTTGTTATGATGCATAACCATGGCAACAAGGCAGTTTTCTACAACCAACAGCAGCAGATTAACATCTCAAAAGCTCAAATAATATCTCAACTACAGCCCCAAATCTCAAATGAGTTGAAAGGATGTTCTGTGGACGCATTCTCATCTACCTGACAGCTGCACTCGAGTGCCTGGCCACTGAGATCCTGGAACTAGCAGGAAACACGGCTCATGACAGCAGAAGGACAGGATCGTCCCTCGGCACCTACAGTTGGCTGTCTGCAGCGACAAGGAGTTCGGCAGGCTGCTGGGAGGAGTGGCCATCGCTCTGGGAGGAGTTCTGCCCGGCATTCGGGCGGTCCTACAGCCCGAGGGAACCGAGAGGCCAGTCGAGTCTGGGTGGACGGATTGGACGGCATCTGCAGCCAGTTTTTTAGGATCCACTGTGGGATGGACCTTTACAAGAGATCCTTCCTGTCTACAGCCATCAGTATATATAACATCTCTTAATGAAATGAGGATAACAAGTTACAACAACAAATAAATTCCCTTTGGGATTAATAAAGTATTTTTGAATTGAATTGAATTGAAATAAATCTTAACATTTTGCATCCAAGCCTACATGACATATTTTTATGTTTTTCATTCATTATGCAACTGAGAATGCTTAGAGGTATGTTTGAACTTTGAATTTCTGATTATCCTGTACCAAATTTGTGTGACAAAACCAATGTGACTTCCAGGTCCAGAATTAAAAACAGATGATGGCTAACCAATCAAACTTTGTGGTGGTTGACAAACTACAGAAGAGGGCAGTGGTGATAGATGTAGCTATTCCAAGTGACTGTAACATCAGGAAGAAGGAGTGCAATAAGATAGTGAAATATCAAGTACGGAAAGAGGAAATAGTTGGGGAGAGTCAAGGCCTCAGTGGTACCAGTGACCATTGGAACACTAGGTTCCATGACTCTAAACTTGAAGAGTGGCTCCAACAGATCCCAGGAACAACCTCAGAGATCTCTGTTCAGAAGAGGGCAGTCCTAAGAACAGAACCCTCCAAATCCCAGGCCTCTGGTAGAGGACCTGGGTCTGAAGTGAAGTGGAACCGCCCATCTAGAAAAATTTGTCAAGCTGTGTATTTGTGTGTGTGTGTGTGTGTGTGTGCGTGCGTTTTTGTCTTTTAAATATTATTCAGTTCTGTTTAGAATTTTGAAGTGTTTACAAAAAAAATTTGAAAAAAAAAGTTTTTTTTTTTTTTTTAATCTCATATAAACTTTAGGTTTGATGTTTTGATGGCAATCATCACTGTAACCAATCATTCTCTCTTCTTCAGGTATTTTCACTGCCCCGGTAGATGGACATTACTATTTCAGCGCCATCTTAACTGGTCACAAGAATGAAAAAATTGAAGCGGTCCTGTCCAGGTCAAACTATGGCATGGCCCGAGTGGACTCAGGGGGGTATCAGCCTGAAGGTCTGGAAAACAACCCTGTGGCTGAAGCTAAAACCATTCCAGGTTCTCTGGCTGTATTCAGCATTATTCTTCCTTTAAAGGCTCAGGACACCGTGTGCATTGACTTGGTGATGGGAAAATTAGCCCACTCCATAGAGCCGCTTACCATCTTCAATGGCATGCTGCTGTATGAAGAGAAGGCACCATTCATGTCAATTTCTGAGAAATAAAGTAGCCTGAGAATTTGTTCATCTGTTAAACGTTTATTACAAACCTGGAGGACTCATGAAGCATGTCACCCTCATTCATATGTGATTTGTTCTTGATTACCAAATATTATCTATCAAGCTTCCTGTACTTTATATTTGTCTGCATTCAACACTTTGTAACAGCTCACTTTGTGCAAGATCTGTACAACTCATCTTTTTATGTTTGTTTTTGTAAAGACCACTAAGAGACAATGAAGGTAAAAATCCTTCTGTGACTAAACTCATCAGTATTAACCCATCTGAGGTTGTATTAAACAGTATTAATTAATCTGTGACTGAATTAGTCTGTCAGTATTAATCCATCTGTGATGGTAGTATTTCCAGTGAATTGATCTTTTTTTGGTAACTAAACTTGAATTCAAACATCCAAGAGTGCAGCCTTTGGAAATACACCATTTTGTGTGGAAGCGTAATAATAACTGCTATCTAATGTAAATCTATTCTAGTTTCCTCTGAAGACAGTTTTTTTAAAACAAAAATAAAAATAATATTATTATATGTCCTTTCTGAAAAGATATTGTTAACGTCCAGAACTAGTGTTGAAAATATTAAATTTGTCCTGAAAGTGGTTCAACAGAAGCTCATTAAGATGGAGTTCTTCCTTCATTGATTAAAACAATTTTAGGGCTTTCATTGAAGATTGTATTTGCATTTTATTAGAAAACAATACAATGGTATAATGTATGTTTGTGTACATGGAGATGTTTTGAAGAAAGAAATGGTTTACCCTCTTTATTTAAAATATTAATGCACTATTCCTTCTTAAAAAAATTAAAAGGCACACTAAGTAATAAGTACACAAGCCTGCACAAACAAGCAGAGCCTTAAACAGTTGTTGTTGTTGTGGTCATCTTCTTTTACTTACAGTCTAACCCTAAGTTTGTATTTACAGTATACAACAGCCTTTAAAACACATTAATACACACTGCATTCATTCTGAAAAAGAAAGAAAAAAGAAACAATACATGTAATAAATAGAGATAGAGTCTGACAGAATTAAGCTGGTTACAGTTTCACTTCAATCAGCAGCTAAATTTATTTTCGCCAGATGTGAAGAGAATTTATTACAGAATAAAAGACTGAATGTTTTGTTTTTAAACTTTCAGAAAATGAAGTCAGTTTCTACATTGTTTTTACATAACATACACTTTCTGAAACATTCATCCCTTATAATGACTTTCTTTTAGTATTTTTAGCGACTACTCTGGAGAATGTGCTTGTTTAGCCAAATAGGAATCCTTAATGATTGCCCTAATTTACATCTACTAATATAATACAATGCTATGTGTTGACATCATTGTATGTTTCCATACAAAGGTGACATTTTATCTATACAATTAACCCATAGCATCTGAGATACACCCAGGTGGAGCAGTGGGCAATTTTGTAAGTGCCTGGGGAGCAATGTAATCCATTTACAATCAGCAAACATTTACAGTTTTTGTTTTCTTGTGATTCTTGAATTTAATGTGACAAGCTACATCTAAGCTTTGGTCTCTGCCTATTGTTTTTTTTTTTTTTTTACTGCTCTTCTAAGTGGTTTTGAAATGCATGTATATATAAATATACTGTATATTACATTCTGTCGTTAACCTCATATTTATTTTAAAAACACATTTCCATTTCTGCTGTAATCATGACGCACTAAACAATAAATTGCTGTCCTCTCACCACTGGCCAATGTTTTGCAATCATAACGTTTCCGTTGGGAAAAGCAAAACAATAAAAGAGAATTATTTCTTTTACCCAGTCTTTGGAGCAGCTAACAGTTCTTGTTACTCTGAGAAATACTGAAACTTTCACGTTATTAAAAACACCATCTCCTCAGCACCGCACATTAGTCTTTATTTGACCTTTTAGTTCAGTAAGGTCTTTGATTTTATTTTATTTGTCTGAGAAATGGTTGCAAAAAGAAAATAAAACAAGAACATTTGTATATTTACTGAATGCTTGTGTTTTCTGTTTTCTGGTAAATTTTTCCATTTTTTTAAAAGAGGTTATTCAGCACACTCATTTTTAGTGCAAAATCTGTTTTCAGAAGCATTAGGTGCAGTTTGAGAAACCATTTTTGAATACTGTTTTTCAATCATTCTTCTGTTTCATAATCTTGAGAACGAATATCAGGATTTTTAATGTGTTGACATGTAACAGAGTTTATTCATTCCTCTGTCTGGTAGTTTAGTCCATGGCCACCACCATATCCATCTAAAGAACAGTGAAGATCCATTTTAATGTTAAAGTTTGTGTTGTGGTGCAACATTTGGTTTTCTTACAGATACAACAGTTAACAACAGTTACTGATTATCAGAGTTTAAATATTAAATGACACTAGACTGTTTAGAAACTTTAGTTAATTTCCCTGTTCATTTAATTTAAAGCTTTAAATGCATTTAATATCAACAGAACTTTTTATAAATGTGAATAAAACTTTTTAAAACTTTTATTCATCATCCATCCATCCATCTATCACATTTCCACCCATCCATCCATCTTTACCTGCTTCTTGTTTTTCAGCGTCACAGTGGTCACTGGTGCCCATGTGAGACTTTATATCTTTGGTAAAAAAAAAAAAAAAAGCACCTTTTTCTGATTACCCAAATAAAATTAAAAAAAAAAAATTCTTTCAAATTTGCACATTTTATTAAACCCAGAAGCAACGGCACACGAGGGGCTGCTCACTGAAACATTCACAACGCTGAGCTTTACCAAACTGCTGAGGAGTTTGTATTTACTTGTTGTTTTGTTAGCTTGGGGATCATAAAAGTCAGAAATGTTTCCCAATTTAACATGATTTCCTTACTGTGAAAACCAGCAAACCCCTCATAATGAGTCATGAGCAGCTTTTAGGGAAGGAAGAAAGTACTTTTGGTCCATACGGGTCTCATCATAAAGTCTAAATAAGTGCAGGTCAGTACATTTGGAAACATTTTCATTCAACCTTTATTTTGACATGTTAATCCCATTGAGCCTTGGAGACTCATTCACAAGAGAGACCTGATTTCTTAACAAAGAGTGATGACAACAGTGGATAACAATGACAAAATTAGACAATCATAAAAGAGTATCCTCATGCATGCTCAATAATCCTGGTAGAAAAATCTAAAAAAGTTAAGTCTGGTCCTCTGGACATTCAAAAAACAAAACAAACAAACAAACCAAAAAAAAAGTAGAAACGTTTCGTCTCATCCAGAGACTTCCTCAGTCTGAGGTGCTGTTTTCAGCTCAGTCTCTTAAATAGCACCTTCTCATAGTGGATCAACCAGTTTGCTGCTGACAACCAAAACCAGCTGATCACATGATCAAGGTCAAGGAGGACCATCAGCCTAACGATGGATCACCTCAGACTGAAGTCTTTCGGGTCAAAGACAAAACGTTTCTACATTTTTTTTGTTTTTCTTTGTTTTGTTTTTTGAATGTCCAGAGGACCAGACCTAACTTTTTTAGGTTTTTCTACCTGGATTATTGAGCATGCATCAGGATATTAACAATGGATCGTTAGCACCCTGATGGCTGTTTACTATTCACAGAGGGCTGAGTGATACTAGCAATAACAGCATTGTAAGAGGGGGACAGTTGAACACCGAGGCCTCCACCCCTGTTTAATGATGGAGGATTTATTTTCACAAAGATGGCCTCCTTTACTACTCTCTCAAACCACCGTTCCTCTCTATCCAGGATGTGAACATCCTCATCCCTGAAAGAGTGACCGCTGGCCTGGAGATGAGTGTAGACCGCAGAGTCCTGGCCTGATGGTGTTGCTCTTCTGTGCTGGGCCATCCTTTTGGCCAGTGGCTGTTTAGTTTCCCCGATGTAAGACTGATCACAGCCCTCCTGACACTGAACAACATACACAACATTACTCTGTTTGTGCCGGGGGACTGGATCTTTGGGATGAACCAGTCTTTGCCGTAATGTATTTTGGGGTTTAAAAGCCACTGGGACGTTGTGTTTAGAAAATAAACATCTCAGTTTATTTGATACTCCCTCAACATATGGAACGACCACTGGTCTGGGTTCCTCCTTTTCACCTGATGGCTGACTGGAGTCCTGTTTGGGTTTCTTCTCTGCTTTCAGGAAGGCCCAGTTAGGATATCTACATTGCTCTAGAGCCTGTCTTGTGTGGGATTTCTCTTTCTGCCTGGCTCCTGAATTTGTGAGGACACTGTCTGCTCTGTGGTACAGATTCCTGATGACTCCTAACTTGTGCTCCATAGGGTGATGGAAGTCAAACTGCAAATGCTGGTCTTTGTGGGTGGGTTTGCGGTACACCTCAGTTTGCAAATGTCCTCTATCAGAGACTGAGACCTTACAGTCCAAGAAAGCCAACCTGCCATTTTTTTACATCTTCTCGTGTGAACTTGATGTATTTATCCACAGAGTTGATGTGATCAGTAAAATGTTGGACTTCCTGAGATTTAATTTTAACCCAGGTGTCGTCAACATACCTGAACCAATGACTTGGTGGTGTCCCTGAAAAGGACGTTAAGGCTCTCTTTTCTACCTCCTCCATGTACAGGTAGGCAACAATAGGAGAAACTGGAGATCCCATAGCACAACTGTGTTTCTGCCTATAATATTGGCCCCCATATGTGAAGTAGGTAAACTGTAGGTACAGTTTCAAGAGTTGACACAATTGCTCTGTGGAAAGAGTGGTGTCTAATTTTAAGCTTAAACTGACCACCTCTACTCATCATCAACAGGAATGCACATAAAGAGTGATGTAACATCAAAAGAGACTATTGTTTCATCAGTCTCCATGACACCTCTCACCTTATCCACAAAGTCCATGGTGCTCTTTATGTGGTGTTCTGAGCTGTCAACTAAAGGGATGAGTACAGACGCCAGATATTTGGAAACAGTGTAAGTGACTGAGTTAATCATGCTAACAATTGGTCTTAAAGGTACACCTTGTTTGTTAAATTTAGGTAAACCATACAGACTAGGTGTGGCCTCCCCTGGGTACATTCTGTGGTACAAAATACAGTCAATAGCCTTGTCCTGCTCCAAA